GGAAGGAGGGAAGGAGGGAAGGAGGGAAGGAGGGAAGGAAGGGATAGAAGGCGCGTTTAGAAGCCCGCTCTTCTGGCGGACCGCGCGGGGGGACGTGGACGCCGGCGGGTGGGAGGCGGCGGCCCCCGGAGAGCAGCGCGGGTCCCAGGACAGGTAGGGCTCCCAGGCCGAGTGGGGCTGCCGGGCGCGGAGGCGGCCGCTCCGGGGAGGTCAAACAGGGAAGATGCCTCGAGAGGCTGAAGAGCAGCCGCGTCCCCTCTCTGGATGCCGAGGCGCTACCCTTGCGCCGGAACGACGGGTTTAGCGGACCGTGAAGTCTATCGCAATTATATCGGTGGCCGCTGAGCAAGGCGATGAGGTGACTCGCGTCAAATGGAAGCCAATATGGGGAGCGGGCTTCGAAATGACCGGCCCCGATGACGACTTACAATCCCAATCGGAGCCCATCACCGTGCCTTATCAGCCGATCCCCGAAACACACGCCAGGCTGAGCGTCCCACCGCTAAACCCCCGCCACAACAAAGGTGCATTTTTGCCCAAGCCCAACGACACGCGTCATGCATGTATGCGTTTGCACACACAAACATGCGTTTTCAGCAAATCAGGGGCAAGGCACGCTCCAGCACGGCCCGTTTGCCATGCAAGCTGCCGGCGCTGATGTTACGAGGCGGCCGGAGGAAGCAGCCCGGCCCTGATCCCACCAGATGTGCTCCTTCCTCCACCCTCCGGCACCCGGGTGTCGGCAGAGAATGGCCGGGTCAGGGCCCCGCTAGTCCTTTCATCGCCGTAGTTACCTGCGATTTATTTTATTCCCCTTGCAAAGAAAAGGAAGGTCGCGGGTAACGAACGAGAGCTTTCTTTGTTAGCTGCTGGTTTCACGTCGGTAGCTAACGGTTCGTTGCCATTGTTGGGCGGATTTACGTCCCCATTTAAACGCAACGCATCGATAATTTCAATGATAAATAGGTATTTCGCTTTTTTAAGATGAAAAAGAAAACGATCATAAGAAGAAGCGATTCCCCAGACAATGCCTGGAAGCGAAGTAACAGGTTAACGCGATGTCTAAGGCGCTGGCTGTCTCGAAATACCCGTTATCTCTGTGCAGCTACGACAGCGATCAAAACCAAATTTAGGAGAAACAAAAGCTCTGGATCCTGAAAGCTGTTCTCAAAGCTTTGTAAATAGGACGCCGATGAGCGGAGACTTACCGAGGGGCGAGCGGACCGCCGTGCTACCGGAGCCCAGGCAGCAGCGCGACTCCAACCGGGAGCGACTCGCCGCTTATAAACTCCGCCAGAAACGACGTCGGAATACCAATGGCGCGGCGGAATTTAATGCGAGCTGACCTTTTTTTTTTTTTTTTTTTCTTTTTCCAGAAGTACTCGGATTTGCTTTTTTAAAAGCGTGAATCGCCGGCTGAGCTACTTCGACGCAGGCATGAGTCACAGAGCTGCCGCCGCCCCCTCCGCGCCGCTCCGCACGGGGCTGAGGCGGAGACTGGAGGGGCGGCCCCGCTTCGCCCCGCCGCGCAGGCCCCCGGTCTGAGCCGGCCCCCCACGCAGCGCTCGCCGCCTGGCAAGTCCCGGTGCCGGCGGCGCTTCCGCCTTCCCTAGACAGCGCCGGCTCGCCCCAGCGTCTCCGGGCGTGCCTCCGGACGCAGCGGCGTGGAGTCGAGGCGGCCGGGCTCACCTCCGGCCCCAGGCTCCGGCCCGCCCCGCGCCCCGCTTCACCGCCTCTTTCCCTCCGCCAGAGGGTGGCAGAGGCACGGGCACCACGGTTCCTTGGTGCCTTCCTGGCCGCACGGGAACATCTGGATCTCAGTGACTCTCCCAGTGCTACCGCTGGATTACCGCTTTACACCTGCCATCCTTTTGCTAAAACGCGGAACATTTGTTTTTGCGCCTCCGACAGTCCTAAATCCACGTTTTCCCACTCCACACCCCAAGCAATGCTTTGCTGACACATCACGGCGGTGAATGTGGTGCTAGGCACCGACGTGTTGTGGTAACTACGCAGACGCCCAAAGCAATCTCTGCTCACAGAGATGACACGTAAGGGGCTGGAAAGAATACACAATGAGACGGGAAGAGGGAAGCAGCCAGGTGAGGTTGGAGGATTCAGCCACTTGCAGAGTGCAGGGCAACGGGAAGGTGTTCTTCCTGAGGGGCTTGAGGTGAAGGGCAGAAACTTCAACTCTTCCATGGAAAGGAGAGCGACAGACTGAGGCATTATGCAGCCAAGGCGACTGTTATGCAGAGCAGACCTACTGTCTAGGAAGTGGACACAGAGGACAAACAACGAGAGCACCCGAGTCAGCTTTCAGACACACCGAGGTGCTGACCGTCTGGGATGACGTGACCTCCTGCCATCTATTTCGGGGGATGGTGTTTAAAGGTGGTTTCAGACAAGCGGGAAAAGCGTTTGCACGACGTGGAGCGTGAGAAATACAATTGTAGCTTACTGTCGCTACAAATGGAAATAGACATTCACAGGAAATCGTGGCAGGATGGCAGAGTGAGGAATCAGCGAAAGATCACACAGAGACCTCAGAAGCCATCCATCACTGAAAGGTGCCACCCCCCCGCACCGTGCCCTGGAGCAAACACCGTGCTTCAGCCCCAAGGGGAAGCCGCCGGGTCACGAAGCTCCGCCGCCGCAGCACCTCGGAGCTGCAAGGTTCGGCACCACGGACAGCGCCCGTCGCGCCCCGCGTCTCCCGAGCGATTCCGAACGAACGCGAGCGATTCCGAACGGCCCCGAGGGAGGCGGGGAAGGCAGAGCTCCGTGCGCTGCTAGCCCCCCACCGCCGGCCGGGCAGAGCGCTGTGGGGAGCGATGCAGAGGGGGCTTGGCGCCCCCCCCGAGGCCCTCCAGGTGGCGCTGTATCTCAAGGCCAGGCCCAGCAGGCCGGGAGGCGGCAGGCAGCTGTCGGCGCTCCGTGCCCCCGCCCGAGACCGAGCCCCAAAGCCATCCTATGCGCACAGCACCCCATGTCCAGAGGTACACCGCGCGCTCAGCACTGAACACCCCTGCAGCGCACGCTCTTTTCATAACCACATATACAGCCAGGTGCATGCCCAGCTGCTGTGGTGGTCCTGACATTGTATCAAGGTGTTTTTGTCTTTGCTGCCTCTGATTTTTTAATTTTTATTTTTAAACATGCAGTTACAACAATGTATAACCAAATACCTCATTACTATAACCCACGCTGACTGCATCAGGTATTTTTTTTCCTTCATCACAATTTCTGGTACAGTTATGTCTCGTTTACCTGTGTGTTTGTTGGAATGGAATAATTTAAATGACAAATTTCAAAAGAAGAACTGGAAAACAGTTCAAAACAAAGCTATTCAGAATTGTTCTCGCTCTCACTTGCACTGATAAAAAAATACAAACAGATTGAAAAACAAACAAAAAAACAAAAAAACCCACCAAAAACAACTGAGAATGCTGGGAACAGTGCCGAGAAAAACTAACAAATGATTGTCCTAATTACTTGCCCTGTCTAGATCTACAAATGGTAATTAGGTAGACACCTCTATTCTAAAGATAATTTGTGCTCTCTGTTGTATGACACCTCATTAATGTTCACTGAAGTTCAGAGGTAGCTTTAGGTTTTGCCATTGACCAGTCATTGATGTACACAACTGTCCCAATTGCAAGGACTCTGTCCAGTACTTGCATTTCAAAGGCGGCTCAAGGAGAGCTGCCAGCTAGAGCACTCAGCTCTGCTGTGATGAAGGGCATTTGGAGAAGTCTAATCCAAAGCACAACGTTTTACATACTTTGTGGCTTCTTGCTGCAGAATGCCCCCTTTCTGATCCACGCTGGCATGAGTTGCTGTCCATTTTGATCTGCTCCATCAGAAAAATATCCCCAAGTATAACTCACATCCCAAAACAACAACAGGAGCAAATCCCCATTGCCAGTACCTGCCAGCAAATAAGGAAGGAAAGAAACTCCTTAACTTCCAAACCAGATCAAAATAAAAGACAACAGAAAGACTTATTTATCTAGATAGACAAAAAAATACTTAAGTCATAGAGCTGTAATTATAGTATGAACAAATGGTAACAGCATTATATCCAGTAAATCTGCTCCCTACTGGTTTTAAGGACTTGCAACTGTTTACTCTGTGTTTAAAATGAATTTTAATTCCAACTTCCATCATTAACCCTGCGGAGCCGAGACAGCCAATGCCCCGAGTCTCCCCTTGTGATTTGTTGCTGTAATTGTTACACGCCTCACTGAGCTGTATCTTTTTATCCCATTGGAGGGCATCAGTTGACAATTAGAACATTCAGTAATTTCAGTAATGCTGCTGCAGGAGATAACACAATTTGACTCTGCAGTCCCAGAATGAATGTATAGAGATGAACTCTGAGATCTTTTAATATATGATCTATTTAAATTAAGCATACTTCATAAAGAACCTTTTGGAGACAGGAAACACGGGCTTTTCTTGTTCTTAAACCATAAATCACTCTCAGGTATGGGCTTTCTTAGGTCTCAACAGTTACCAGAATTTCTATAGCTGTGCATTTGCCCTTTCATTTTTCCTCCTCCTTTCTTTTTTCCCCTCTTTTCTTTTCTCTGTGATAGTCGAGTCAGGATTTGGTTTTAAAAGCTTGACAGCTTCACATAAAGAAACATTAACACCAGTAAAACATCAGGCGTTTTGCAACAACATATTTGAAAAGCCTGATCCCTCTGCTATTTTTCAGATACATAACAGAAATTTACAAATGTATATATATATTTTTCCTATCCAAAAAGGAA